TCCGACAAAAAATATTGTTTTGAAATAACTGAATCCAATCATTTGAAATCTGTAGCAATCATAGAAAAAGACTTCATTTAAAATAAAATTAGGGAAATTTTATTCCTAAGATTCGGTTGTAAATTCATAAACATTACACTTGAATATCTCATTCATAACTATATTTCCATTGTTGATCATTTCTATTTATATCAGTACAATTAGTGTATGTATATATTGTCAGTCTTTCTTCGATTATGTGTTACTTAAACAAGATATTCAATTAAAAAAACCACAGAACTAAAGAAATTCTTTAGAATACAAATATTATATGATCTCTAAATGAATCTTAATTTTGTTGAATTTGGGTAAGTGATACATAGGAAACCTTGAACTTAGACTTTATAATAGTTTATAAACTTTCAAAAAACAGAGGTTTAGTGAAATGTGTTTTAAAAATAATTCCCCGCTACAAATTAAAGCTTTGAATCGTATTTCGGGGAATGAAATGGGCCTGTAAACTACATTATATGTATGATGATCGATATCATGTTGATTCTTTATTCGAGCTTATAGTAAATACGTATCTAATACTACACTTCTACTTCTGGAAGTGGATTATTAGAACTCGTGAAGCTTGATATCATTTATCAGATCACTTTCTGATGATCTTAAACTAAAATGAAACAATTTATTCTAAAATATATAATTATTGGGTATGTTTGATATGTGGAGGTTTTTGTTTATTTGTAAGGAAGTTTTCATCACAAACTGATATCAGATCCATAAACAAAATGATTCGAAGTGTTAATGTGAATTCTTAAATTATGGAGTGTGACAGTAGCTCACTAACGGCCTGTTTCATATTACAAATTGAATGAAGTTGGTCCATTGAACTTCGATTTACAGAGATCATGTTCATCGTTAAACCTGAAAGTCCTTTGCTTGGTTTTGTGTAAGGTAATGGATTTGGAATATTGTGAACAGTTAAACATAAACGAAACAATTGTCACAATATGGACATCAACACCAGGATCCAGGTACATCTAAAAGGTTCCAAATACGGACAAAACTGGAGTCACAGATACTATTTCTAGCTATTACGTATCTGTTCTATAAAAAGTGGCTTCATTCGTCATAGGTTTTCATTACTTAAAGCATAATTTACAAATAAGTTTGTTTTCATTATCTAAATCAATCTTAGAGAACAAAATCACACTGAAATACTTTATGTGCCTTTTATGTAAAAATAAGATATAATACATAAATTTTGTGAATGTACTAATGTTAATCATTTATCTAAACACTTTCGGCTACACTATTTATATATTGGTAATTGAGAATACATTTTATTTAAGTACATTGCTGAATCTATATCAGTATTTCATAATAATGTTTGTTACGAATCAGTTAATCTGATAACAGTTTTCTTCAAACATAATGATATTAGAATGAAGAATCCGACTCATTATAGTGTAGGGCTACTACTTACATATATGCTCTCACTCTCCATTGACCATCCATAAGATAAAACTCATGAGCATGAAAACTTCAATTAGTTTACAGTACAACACATTTGTTTTCAAATGTTATCCAGGTGACATTGCTTACACTAGAATTGACTGTTTACTTATACTTCGGTTTCAGAAAAACTTACAGTGTTAGTTCCTAAGACTGGTCAATGCTATGTAACGTAAGTTTGAGTTTTGTTGACTATGGATATTCCATATGTTGTCAAGTTATTGAAATACAATTCGAATTCATTTGAACTAAAATTCAGGCTCTCTCGTATCTCCAATATAGCTGAATAGCTTAGTGGTGTAAATGAACACCTATTTTCCAATCAATGAAACTATCATTAATGAGTCATCTTCACGGTTTTCGTGATGACTCACCAGTCTAGACAACAAGAGGATAAAAAACCCATTATGGAGATAGTGATACCCAACATTAAACTTCACTACTTCAACCATGATGCTTACATGATCACATTATTGTACCGCAAAAATTTAAAAGCTATTTAGCCCGGTACAAAACTGTAATAGCTGGTCAAGCATTCATTTGCACAAAACCAAATGGGAGGATTGTAGAAATTAATCTAATTCGCAAATTGTCCGCATTAAGGACTGGCGTTAGCTAGACGACTATTGGAAACTAGAAAACCTAAACAATTTTTTTCACCTAAGTATGGAACTATCTCAAAGTGTGTTCCAACTAACTCATTAAAGATTGATCTAAGAATTTTTAGGGCTTGTGACAACCGCATTACCATCAAACCAATAGGATAATATCTTATAGTTAGAAATTTCAATTTCAGTCAATTCATCAGTAATTGAGTAAAACCCTATATTAGTAAGATAAATGCTTATATATGATGTTTAACTACCTTCAATTATTGAATATCACAATATTAACAAATCATTTTCCTTTCTTGTATCTCTCCTAAATTAAACAAGATCTCAACAACAACAAAATCCACTCAACTTAAACATTTATATTAAAATGTCAAGTGATATATTTATTTTCACCCTTCATATCATTACTACTTATTTCATGAGTCAGTCAGTCAGCTACAACGTAGGACCAGGCACATATATGCATCGGTCCAAGTTGCCATACCTCAATAACACAACAAGATGAACACCGGATTCATAAAAGTAGTTAATTCAGAGGTGGTAATATATAAAAGAAAGATTGTAATAAGGACATAGTACAGGAAGAAAGAATTAGTTCGTAGAAAGAAAGATATGAAGCGATTTTAATCTCTTAGTTTAAGGGAAGATAGAGAGTGTATACACCTGCACCATTGTGATCGATTCTGAGCCACGTCGCCAAGAGTCTCAACCATTGGTTACGATAATCACGCGAACCTTAACCAAGTAATCTGCATCTACCAACATGGCTCAGACTAGAAGTTAGTGACTTTAAGCACCGATGCGACGTTTTGGTTTGGCCGCCCCTAACTTTCTTCCAACCATCCCGAACACCGGTTAGCATTGCACGTCCTGGCAATCGGTGATTCACAACCTCATCAACTGATTTACCATCATTCCCTAATACCCTGTGTCTAACCTCACTATTACTTACCCGGTGATCCCAGCAGAACAACAATTAAGCATATTAAATTACACTAAGGTGCTAAGATGAAGCTAGAAAACAAATGACAAAGAAAGAAAAAAAACAAATTACTTTAAAATATGTAATCTAATTAATGTGTTAAAAACATTCCTCAAGTTTGGATAGATTTCTTTTTAACTCTTTCAAATAAAATGAAGTGTAATATATTTATGCTGCATTTTATGTATTAAAGTTCATTTAGATTTTTGTAAATAGAAAGAAAAAAAATCAACAACAAAAAAAAGAGTAATACTTTGTGTTCATCGATTTCGATTAATAAAACAGTACAGATCTAATGAATTTAGTTATTTTAAGTGTATCGTCAATTTCAATTAGTGCATTCAATAGATTACATACTTAATTACGCCTGATACTCTCAAATAGAGCATAGGCCGCCGACCAGCATTCAATGCATAAATGATGTATTCAATGATAAAACGAATGATTTATATGTTGTTTATATAAGCAATTATTAATACCCAGTATATAGATGATGTCTGATGGTGTGTGCATTTTCAGTTCAGTTCAGTTTATTTTAATTTCATTTTACATTGAGTTATATTTATCTGACCTGTTGAAAGATTGGCTAGTTAGTGATTGTTAGGTTTTGATAAGCATAATGAATGGTAACTTTGGGATCCATTTGTGGACCAATACTATACGTATATTTTCATCGTATAATTGTTAATCAACTAAACTATTCATATTCATATCTCTCTTATCATAGGCTTTATTTTGACCTATGAACCATTATTATACATCTTACCATTCTTGAATTATGCCCTGTCTATTAGTCACTGCCTCCCACATTCACAGCCACATTTGGCCAAATCTTGTACAAATGTTGTTTTCTATTTTATGGTACGTTGTGGTCTGTTTGATTGGTATATAAATTCAGTATGTTTGAAATATAATGATTCATATTGCAGAGGCTCGGATTGGTGTTCTGAACTTAACTGGCTGGGCTAGGACCAATCAGGACTCTAGGCTGCTCTCTCGGGTTTTACGCGTCATTGGTCTGATCGATAATTCACTGCTCCCTAATTGGCGGTATCATTACTTATCCATTAACAGGGCTCACTCGGCCACAAGTTATAACAGTGATAACCGATAGATGGCTGATCAATGTGGAATGTGTTTGTAATTTTATAGATTGAGAGATTTGAATAAACTTTTATATTCAGCTTATTAGTCTAAGATATTAATATCGAATTGGTTTGATTGTCAGAAATAGTTTTAGTCATAATTGTCTTTATTTGTTTGTCAAGACGAAATCGATATCCTGTATACCACCTCCGTCCCTGAGAATAATCACACTATTAATGCTCGTTACAGTTCAGGAATAATTGATGAGATATTTAATTTACATTAATCATTTTCATGATCGCTTGATACCAACTAAAGAGATAGATAAGACTAGTTTCTTTTCATTCAATAGATAGATTTTTGGTTAGTACTGGGTTCTAGAATGCACATTTCGTGTTAATTAAGATTTGCCACCTCGATGTATTATATAGGTGAATAGCTACCTGAACTCAGTAGCTCAGTGAAAAAGGTGTATAGTGTTTGGAGATAAAAGTACTGGGTCCGAGTCACGGTGTACACATCAACATTAGGATGCAGGTAAATATAGTATCTTTTTAGTTATTTTTAACAAAACGTCCTGATATTATAGATCTTGGAATGATTTAGGCAAACTTTTAGGTTGTGTAATAATTATATTTAACATATTCTTAGCAGTTAATTCAAATATTCTCTTACCACTATGATTGTATTAGTATAAATACGAGTTCGAATTGAAAAATAACAATTAGAACTTAAAAATTATGATAAATACTATCTGACTGTCTCGAAACATTGTATTTAAAATGAAAATAAAATAAATTTGACAAATTTTATCTTACCTTTCCATCATCACCTAATTCATAGGCATCTTTGAGAAAATCCATCATACCACATGGGACACTCGTTTGTGAAATCAAACTTCCTGGAGTATTAGTCACATTAATTTTACTGCCTGGTAATCCTGCTGTATTAGATGATGAACTAGAATGGCTTGAAGTTGTTGTTGTCTCACCATCTACTGTACGTGTATGTTGTGTAGATTCTACAACATTACTTTTTGTCACCATATTTTTTGGATCACTACCGCTACTATGCGATGTAGATGATGTTATACGTGAACTTGATGTTTGCATAGTTGAACTATTAGGACCAGAAAAATGTGATGGACCAAAACTAGACATAGTTCCCATTTTTTGTCGTAATGATTCCATTCGACGTTCCATTTGTTCCATCATAGTTGATGGATCATCAAGTGAATGAATCGGTTCAAAATTACCCCAATGGTCAAGATCAAAATCATCAACAGGCTAGAAGACAAAAGATCAAAAATAAGTCAATGAGACATATAAAATATATGAGAAAATACAATGTTTAGCGCTAAGAGTTCGTTTTCAAATTATGGTTTGTTAGCTACTCTCTAACAAATATGTCGGAATCATGATTGACTCATTAAAACCTTCAAACTTGAATTTATATTGAATATAAGGTTCATCGTAACTCTTTATGCAAATTTTAAATATGCTCTATTCATTGAAAAATTCACTCGTTTTACTAGGATCTTATCTCTTGTTAATCATAGAAGAATTTGATATTGTTAATAACAGTGAACTATTCAAATAAACAGTTTGTGTGTAAACTAACTTGAGTACAATCAATGCTTTTCTGAACCTTTTACTGATATTGATAATATCCAAAACATGGTTAAGTATTTTCAGAGAAACCTGAAGAACTTGAGTTTGAATCCTGATAGAGTCATGGGTATGCAGTGGTTAGGAGTTTCATACTGGGATGAAACAACTGTTCGATTTTCCATGACTTTCAATATACCTCCGTTGAAAGCAATTTACGGTGGATATCACGTCTACATAAATTTCCATAAATTACAAATTTTACTATAGTAGTCAGGATAAGCTTAGATCATTTCAGAATCATAGTTAATCTTGAAACATTGAACAACTGAGAGACGTAACTGTTCCCCTCTTCGACCCAGTATAAAGATACAAGATTATTTCTAATAATAACCACTGAAATTAGATTTAAAACTAACTTACAACATCAATAGTACTAACCATCTTCTATTAAAACAAATGAATAATGAATATAATCTTGCTTATTTCATATAATTGAATACTATGGTAATCAAATAATCTGTAGTTTAATCAACCAATCGAAATCTATTCTCATCATAATTCCAAACACCTTTATACAAAATCTCAGTAATAAAAAGTACAACAGTATTTGGTAAATTAATACTTAAGTAACCAGAATGGATTTAAACTGAATAAGTGGTATATATACATATGCATAGTCAGGTTAAATTGTCTTAAGTCATAATATCATTTAACATAAATGTTACATTTAAACTAGGGAAACAATCTATGCGATTTCATGGATATTAATCTAAATTTCAGAAATTAAGTAGTAACTCTCCTATGAATTGATTTCATTGTATATATATATGGTCAATGGGAATATTAGAAAATAAGTTACATCTTTTAAGAAACCTATGCAGGATGAATGGAAAAATACATAAATTCACGGAACATTAGATAGTTGTCTTATTGTAATTGAGGACATATTAGTGGTACATATAATAAATCATAATTGTTATACATAATTGATTAAACAAATATTGAAAAACATAACAGCTTTCAAATATTAAAAATCAGTGAATGAATGAACCCATGTTAGTCACTTTGAATGACTGAAATGTTCCCCTGAAACTTCCTAGGTTTTTATTTATTGAATGATAAAAAACAAATTTCGGATAAATCAAATGTGATAATAACAGGATTGATGAGGCAATTGAAGTTAAACCACCAAGGAAAGCCTAGACATGTAGTGAATAAGAGACGGGTGGAGACACTTGAATGTATTTAACACAGAATTACAGGACTTGTTAATAAAATCTAACAATCATAAAGTAAATGCTTAATTTGCAAAACGTTCATTTGTCTCAAAATGACCCAGACTACATTGTTCCTGCATTTTCATACAAATTGCATCCTGTTTCCATTTTTTACTGTTCGATCCTCTTGTCTCTCTGCTGTTAGACTTTCTATTCATAACTAACATCATATACTACTTATGTCAATACAAGTAGCACACAACACAAAGCACTGAAGGCAGTTTCATCCTAGAATGGGAGTATAGACTTCCCATACTATAATAAAACTGCCGTCCAGTGCTTCCAGGTTTTCCGTGTTGGTCTAGCTTCAATTGACTTATGAATTCAATCATTAAATTACCACAAATCTCCACAAAACCCCTGTCTGATTATAAATTACATTATCCCAATGAAGCATTCGAGTCAAAATTATATCAAATAATAACGTACGAACACAATTATTTGAGTCCTAGTAATTTCATAACATAAGATAATTATCAAGAACATTTTGTTCAAGTATTATATAACCTACAGTGAAATCAATAAATTTATGCTTAATCACATGTTAGTCTCAGTTCTGTCAGTTAGCAATCAGATAACACGAAACCTTACAAAGAATATTCATATAAACTAGAAATGGAGAACTGATGATTGATAAATGTTTAATTTCTTTCAAGCCATTTTATAGTAATACTAGGTTTAGTTATTTCTATTTAGATTTCATTAGCCAGCTAAATAAATATCTGCGATACTGGTAACCAAACTTGGATTTTTATCTAATAATTCACCCGAGCATAACTTTCTTCTCATGTTTATGAATAATTGTTTAAGGGATTCTACAGTTCGTAGTTCTAGTAGAAGTTAATAAATATATAATTTGACGTCAATTTCATTTGAAACAAGTAATTCAGTTTCACATGATTACCATACTACTAAGCATCATACTTGTTTACTTCAAAATTGTCCTTAAGATTTTTTATTTTATTTTGTGTAGCATTCAGTTCAAGTAGGGTACTTTCAATTTCAAATGAGAATTCTTATAAAATGATGAACATTAGACTTTATTTGCATTAATACAAAACCTTACTCATTCGTTATCTTTCTCTAAATATGTCGATTTTTATTCAATACTTTTCATTCTTTTTTTTCGTTTTTGATCTTAATACTATACTCTATATATTTGTTTCCACTATTCTTACTATTATAATTATGTCGACCTATCTTGTTTAGTTCATAAACAAAAGAAACCTGGCATATATGTGTACAGGTTCAAGTTGCATAAGCATAGTGAGATGAAATCATTAAGACAAATGAAAACATTGGGCATAGACGATATTATTCCCAAACAAAGAAAGTATTTGAGAACTAAAAAGAATAAGGTATATTTAAACCTGGAGATCTAAAGAAAGTCAAGTGGTGAATGCCTTTGCGCCATTGGGACCTGTTCTCAATCATGTTACCTGCATCTCCAACCATTGGTTATGGTAATCGGATGAACCTCAGCCAGGTAATATTCACCTACCAACATGGCTCAGAACAATGGTCACTTATATTATAGACTAATACCATGTTTTTTTGTGACCACTCCTTTCTGTCTTCTACACTAGTAAACGTTACAAGTCGATGTGGTAGGTGGTGGTTGGGCATACGTAACACATGTCTTAATCAGTTCAATCCATCAGGATTTTTGGCTTCATCAACTGTTATTGTAACAGAACCTGTTTTTCTTATTTTAAATATGAAGTAACATTAAGATAAATTCTTCATTCAATTGAAAATAATTTATGGTAAAAAGCAAGGATACTAAATGTCATCAAATATTAGATCAAACTTCTATTGATTCAATCACAATCCTATATATAACTTTATTTTTTGCAAACCTACTTTGATCACATTTTCACAGCTGTTGCAGTAGCACCAAATGTGTTAAGGACACCCACATTAACTGGTGTCAATACAGCATGAACTTTTAGTCAGTCTGAATTAGTAGGTAATTTGATAGATTGCATTTGCACTCATAACCTATCAGCTAGTGATTGAAACTTAAGCGATATTTAAATATAAAAATATCTAACAAATCAATATTAAGAAAGTGTATGGTTTGAAGCATGCTTGCATATTGAGTACTATTGGTAAAGTTTTGTTCACTATGATCATCAAGTATTTCATAACAAAGATAAAATAGCTTTGTTTAAAATGTATCAAAGAAGGAGAGATGTTTTATCGCTTTGAATGAAAAAATCTACTCTTTTCCGACAGTGTAATTTATTTCATATGACGTCATTGTATAAAACAGGTGGAGGAAGGGAAATAATAATAAAATCATGAATAATCATATTTGAGGATATCTATTGAGTGTTTTGAGCATAATAACTGATGTAATATGAGTATATGATGATCCTACTGAATTTAAAACATTCAAAATAATCATCTCGAGTTGTAAATCTTTTAACCTAAACGTATTTATACGACTAGTTATTAATTACTCAGTTGAGTTAATGATCAATAGGTTTTTGAGCTATTCAGTGTATTTATTTATGGAAGCCGGTTATTAATGCAAATAAAGTCTAATGTTCATCATTTTATAAGAATTCTCATTTGCAATTGAAAGTACCCTACTTGAACTGAATGCTACACAAAATAAAATAAAAAATCTTAAGGACAATTTTGAAGTAAACAAGTATGATGCTTAGTAGTATGGTAATCATGTGAAACTGAATTACTTGTTTCAAATGAAATTGACGTCAAATTATATATTTATTAACTTCTACTAGAACTACGAACTGTAGAATCCCTTAAACAATTATTCATAAACATGAGAAGAAAGTTATGCTCGGGTGAATTATTAGATAAAAATCCAAGTTTGGTTACCAGTATCGCAGATATTTATTTAGCTGGCTAATGAAATCTAAATAGAAATAACTAAACCTAGTATTACTATAAAATGGCTTGAAAGAAACTAAACTGTTATAACTCTCTTTCTCACGGTTATGACCCAGCTATTCCTATTGCTTAGTATTCTTGGACACCGATTCACTCGACAAGACCCCAAATCAGAACACGGTTGAACAGGAAAGAGATTTTATTCCAAATAACAAGGTTAGATGGAAGCAAGATGCAAGCCAGGAGCACAATAGGGAAAACGTCAGTATATTTATAGTTTTTACATAAGAAGATTCCAGAGTATTCTCCAACTGTCGACTAGTGCTGATTAGATAAGAATTAGCCAATCAGCGTGCACCAAAGCAATCATGCATTGAGCATGCTTTAATCCAGTTTATGTCCCGCTAACATAAACATTTAGTAATCATCAGTTCTCTATTTACAAATGCTTATGTTACTTAATTGACGGATACACATTTAGTTAACTGTATCTGTTAAACTTTTCACGAAGCTTTCGTTTGTCCCTCTGGACATCATAGTCAGCGCCCACTTCACATATGGGAGAAAGCTGTTTAGTTATTCTACTCTGTTCTAATGACCTTGCCTGTAGATGTCGGTTTTTACAAACTTTGTCAGCCTCATTTTTCACTGTATTCCCTCCATCATGACTGGTAGATCACATGTCACGTAACTTGCTGGTCTTTTCTGCATAGATTAGTAAATAAGGTCTATGTCGATATGTTGTGCGCTGACCTGAACAACAGGCCTCTCGAAAACATTTCTCTTGAAATCCATTCAAAATGTTTACACGAAATAGGAAACATTTTAAAAATAAAAACATTTCCTACGCATGAACCTTTAGATATCATTTTTCAAGTTTATTTGATGTTGCAAAGGAGGTTACATTGACTATATAAAGCGAGATCTTTAGAAACACTTATGCAAGCATCGCTCTACCTGACTATGAAAAGAATTATGCTAATCGGTCCATTATTCAATCCCGAAACATCCTGTCAATTCTGGTTACATTGCACCATTACAGTTCTCTTTAAAAGTCACCTATATAGTCAGACGAATTGATCCAGAAGGAATATATATTGAGGAATCATGTACAGCATAACTTTTATCAAACAACCGATTCAAGCCTAATCTTTGTGTACAAAAGCAACACGTTTTACTTCTCATTTTAAAGTGGTCTTAATTCTTTCTATATTCCATTCTTAAAAAATCTGTCGTTATCACTCCTTTCTAAATATTACAGTACTTAATCATTCTATTCTTCATATCCATCAGATGGATGACAATCATCTATAAACTATCATTAACATTTCTTTGTTAGCTGATAAATAATTACATAACCTCACTTCGACTTTTCATATTTGCGAACACCAATATAAAGCCTCTCTGATTTCCATAACCTTGGTAAAATAACTTACTAGAGACTACCGTTATTTAAATTTTTCAATCATTGTTCATAATTTTGTGAAATGAAACAACACCCCTTAGTGAGACTATAGTTTATGGACGACTTTTGAGCGACGCTAAAGTGACCTTGAGAGGGTTCACCTAGTAACTAGGACCAAACGAGGGTCATAAACCAGTGTGGGGAATTAAAATTATAATTTACATTTGATGGTTAGGGTTAGGAATTAGATTTAGGGTTTTCATCACGAACTGACACCGGCTATAATGCCAAAAATCTATTTAGCCAAATGGATGGGTGAATTTTGCACCAAAACCCGAGACCTGTTATCTAGAACGTGATTGGTTAGTCCATAAATTATAGTCTCTCCCAACTCTCTATTCTATTTTTAACTAACATTTGTAAAAACTACACATAAATGTGACTTTAAAGTCTGAGTAGATAATTTTTAGTCAGTGAATCATCCTCATATCTTTTTTATTAAAGACAAGAAATATCTATATAATCGATTTGAACTAGGATATCTAGAAATCCTTAACAAAACAGTTAAACCACCAGAATGGATTCCCGCCATAAAGTACATTCAATGACAGATTTTACCACTTTTTCAAGATAAACAAAATGATTGATAAATAATGATGAGCAGTTTTAAGGCTACATAATCTAGAATTCTGTGTCAAACCATGAAGAATGTGGGGCTGTGTTATGCTCCTAACAATAAGGATCTGTAATATAGGTTAAGAATGAAATTTGTTTTCTCTTTTCTCTGGTGTAATATATGTTAAAAGAACATTCACTAATACCAATTTTTATAAAGGATGCCCTTTACTGTTATGAATGCTTATAAATTCCATTTACTTGAAATGAAACACTGAAGGTCGAATATAATATATTAAATAGTGATAGATACCTTTTTATGGTTTCTTAACTCTTGTGTTCATTATCAAATTCAAATGCTCCGACCCAAGGTGAACATATTAGATATGGTTAGTGCTATTTTACATTAAAACATATGACTAATAATACTAAGTATAGTAACTATCCCTCAATGTATAGAAATATAATGAATACAACGAATTTTGGCAGACATTACCTATGAGTCTAAAAATCCACTAGTAAATAACATTATTTCAATGATGTGCTATGTCCAGTGAGCAAGCCTAAACTATTTTCTTGTTCAACCTTGATTGCATAGACGCTAACTTATCAAGTAATTGTTTTTCAGTGCTATTTATCGTGGTACTAAGTAGTTGCAGAAATTACAGGGCCAAAGGATTCACACCCATGACATTGGTAACTATCCAGTGACAAAACAATTGTAAATACATCTAAATCGTACAGGAGGTCAGTCACGGCCCGGATAGCTCAGTGACAGCGTCTCTGACTGTGAAGATGGGTGACACGGGGTCGAACCCATCACGGACCATCAATTCCCTCATGATTACCAGCACGTCCTGCTGACGAGTGCCAAATAGAACGAAACCTAGGTCCAGGGTCTCCTATCAACCACTTCCAACCACCATCTCCCAGTCTAATCTCCCGTGATGGTCCTTAAAGATAAACAATTTATATATTTTAATCAACGTAAAATTGACTCATTTTTGTTTAGGAGTTTTTGACAAAGTAAGAAATAACATAAATTCTTACCTCTAAAGCGAACATGGACTGTCTCATTCGCTTCATGTCTTCGCTCCACTTGCTACGTGTTTCACTAATCCAGCGATTGACTTCATCATCCCAATCACTAATATGACGATTTGATCCACTTATAGTTGATTCAGTTAAGGGTATTGATGACTCGGAACTTGAATTCTTGTGGATGTCGGTTCTTGAATGCTTACTGTAACTACGTTCAAGATTACTAAGCATATCCTTTCGGCGCTGTTCGAATGTTCGCTTATCTCTTGATATCGGTATGTTTATTTCCGTTCTGTAGTTGTCCATAATTACGTCAGATGTAAGTCACCACAAAACGTTGTAACAATACGAATCAATAACCACTGCTATGCGTGGAAAAACTAATCTTCGCAACCTAACGAGCAAATACTTGAAAATATATCCGCAAAACCTACCAATAATTTTCAAGAATCGTATAATTTGTCAATTAAATTTTGATTGGTTAATTTTTATTCACGTATTAAAAGCATGTAATAATAAGTTGACCAGATTGCCACCTCATCCTACCTGTTATTGTTTCTGGGTTGAGTCATTTCATAATTGTATATTGGAATCTATTGATTTAGCACTGGCATTTGTAATGAATTAAGATAGGAAGTCAAGACTAGGGTGTTATGCTCCCTACATACTCTATTGATAGATTATGATGCCATGATTACATACATACACAAATAAATTCAATTATGGAGAATAACATTCTGTTTATGCTTCTAGATTTGTGCGTATATCATATACAGTCACGCTAGGCAAATGGTCAAGTAAATGTAACGTGTGCATATCTTATGTATTTTGAACACACATAGAACTGATTATCTATCAGGTGTACACTGTTTCAGTCTTTACCTTGTAGGTTTGGATGTATATAAATACATACACGAGATTTTATTTACATACACAATGATAAACTACTTACAAAATAGGAAGTCTGACTGTTATTTCAATTACACAAATGGATAAGTTTTATTTGACGCAGGTAGAATCAAGGTTAGATTTATAAAGATTTTACTACATACACACTGTAAGAGTGGAAGGTAACAAAAAAGCATGTCTGATACATGTATATACAAGTATTTATACACCATCGTCGGAATGCTTTTTTGGTTCCATAGCCTAGACATACATGAAACAAATATCGATTGTAGAATACCTTATTTAGTGGAATAGTGCTATAAAAATGGTGTTGAACGCTCTGTAGGTAGACTTAGTTCGAACTTTTTATAAAGTGAAATTTTAGTCAATACGTTTCTGTTGTATACGTCTACGGATAGCCAGACCATCAAACTTGAAGATCTAATAATTAAAAAGATGATATGGTTAATCGATATTTATTCAAAATACATTCAAAACATTAACGTCGCAAGTTTTACAAAAGGTTTGGGGCTTCCTACAAGAGAACCAGACAAGTTCAAGAGATTCATTATGAACCAGAGATTACAACAAGGGTATATACATGGACAAAACAAAGAAATAAATAGAAATTTAGTGACTACAGCTAGTGCTTTATACCGCTAAGAACATAAAGGATTATATGGTCCTAACTAAATTGCAAAGGGCCGAGGTCATTCATATGGATTTGAAGACAACAGATCATAAGAGCGATTAAATATGACGAAAAATAGAACTAGATTAACAACAATGACTCATGGAAAAAAAGAGATCTACTAACTGCAAACTAAAAGGCTGGAAAACTAAGTAAAATAAAGAGTATATATATATATATATATCAAAAGAGAGAGAGACTTTGATCTCGAAAAGATTTCAATAAACCACTAATGTAACGATTGCGTGCACCGATTTTCAGTGAAGAATAATGAAAATCTGAATGTATATTTTTAAATTTCATTTCTCCAGCTGTTTAAAAAAAAATAGAACAAACCATTTCCTGTTGCCTATACACAGTAAATCTTAGGGTCATAAACGAGCTATCCCAACATCATCATTACGATTGTGCCATAAGATTAAATGCAATTTTATTGGAAATTTCCGTTTGATTTCAGAAATTTCTCAAATAATTTGTTACTTCTTTTTTCGAACTACTACAGTACATAATTGAATCAACGCAGCTACGCAAACGATTAGTTACACAATTCCCCATGTTAAAAAACCTCTAATCAGAACACCAGAAGGTCAGATAAGCAGTTACAAAAAAACCGTTTAAACTTAAATCTCATATGGTTTTATTCGTAAAATATAAAACCACAACGTACCACAAGTATTAATTCTCAATCAGTTTATAACTACGTCATTTTTAACGCAGAGCTCAGTAACGTATTTGTAACTATAAAACTATAATTTAAGTGAATTAATCAATCGAAAACGTTCAATCAAGACCATAAAAACAGACCAAACTGACCGTTTGTAAATGCTTACTAAAGTATACTAATTTGGTTTTCTACGATTAATATTTTCCTTTTCTACCTTTCCGTATCCTGACAACCATTTGCTTTGAAAGAATTATTTATATGATAGTCTATGTTTAATCGACGTAGCTTTTGTTAAACTCGTCATGATCTTTGTCGATGTGGCCTAGGTTTACTTCCCAGTGTCATTTATTTCCGTATAACTTCCATATCTAAATTATCTTACATATCTAACATCATATCAGAGTTCCCATAGGGCAGCAACGACAAATTGACAAAAATAATTGGAATAAAACTTGTCATGGGATGCTAATTACGTAACATGTATTAGTTATGGGGTTATAAGCAAGAAAATTCAGTGAAAGAATGTATTTTTCGTTTACTGAATATTCATCGTGGTAAGAATGATTAATTTAGATGAAAGATTTATTAGAAGTAAGACAATCATTAATTTATTTCATCCGTGATAAATAGTTTTGGTGAATATACGTATATATATCACGTCATATAAAAATTATCAGAATGGGTTTTGTGGAGATTTTAGAAATTTCACAGATTGAAGTCATGAGTCAGTTGAAGCTAGACCAGCATTGAAAACCTGGAAGCACTGGACGGCCGTTTCGTCCTGGTATGGGACTCCTCAGCAGTGCGCATCCACGATCCCGCACCACGAGGGGCTCGAACCCAGGACCTACTGACTCATGACTTCAATCTGTGAAATATAAAAATTAGTTATTAAAATATTAATGTAAACATCTTGTTAAGCCTGACGGTTAATTTGTAAAAAAATTCTAAACTGATGTCACAGATGCTTAACTAGAATTATATAACCATGTAAATGTTCCCCTGACTTTGAATACCTCTTTGATTATCACCATGGAGATATTGGAAATCGTAGAATTTTTATGGTTTTTAGTTACAAACTAGTTTTAGTTACACCACCATTGAACACCAAAAAGCACTGAATAACTGCTGTGTCCTATCATGGTACTGCTTTCTGATGACAGTCATAGAAACGTAGTGATGACGGATTTACATACCAGGATGAAACAGCTGTACAGTGCTTCGTGGTTTTTAATAGTTGCTTAGTTATTGTTAGACGATTATATAAACTAACTTTGCAATGAAAATTCTTCAAGAATTGTCCATATTAGTTATAAAATAGTTTCAATGATAGAAAAAACGTATATGTATGATAGAAATCGGTTTCCAGTTGCTTGATAAAAAGGTATGCACGATGATAGAGTTACTTACTTACACATGTTACTCATAATGGAGCATAGGCCGCCGACCAGCATTCTCCAACCCACTCTGTCCTGGACCTTCTTTTCTAGTTCCATCCAATTCTTCTTCATTTTTCTCATGTCTATTCTCATTTCCCGGCGTACTGTGTTCTTTGGTCTTCCTCTTTTCCTTCGACCTTCAGGATTCCATGTGAGAGCTTGTCTTCTGACTCAGTTCGGTGCTTTCCTCAATATGTGTCCTATCCACTTCCAGCATTTCTTCCTGATTTCTTCCTCAGCTGGGATCTGGTTTGTTCTCTCCCACAGTACGTTAATGCTGATAGTGTTTGACCAACGGATCCTAAGTATTTTGCATAGACAACTGTTAATAAACACCTGTATTTTCTGGATGATGGCTTTCTTAGTTCTCCAGGTTTCCGCCCCATACAGTGGAACTGTCTTGACATTTGTATTGAAAATCCTGACCTTGGTTTTGGTTGACAGTTGCTTCGAGTTCCAGATGTTCTTCAGTTGTAAATATGCTGCTCTTCCTTTGCCGATCCGCGCCTTCACATCTACATCAGATCCACCCTGTTCATCAATGATGCTGCCCAAATATGTAAAGGTTTTCACATCTTCCAAATCTTCTCCGTCAATTGTGATTGGATTGGTGCATTCTGTGTTGTATCGGAGAATCCTGCTTTTCCCTTTGTGTATGTTGTGACCTACTGCTGCTGAGGCTGCTGCTACACTGTTTGCCTTCTCCTGCATCTGTTGTTGCGTTTGGGATAGAAGGGCCAGATCGTCTGCGAAGTCTAGATCATCCAACTGCATCTTAGATGTCCATTGTATCCCGCGCTTCCCTTCAGACGTTGACGTCTTCATGATCCAGTCGATCACCAGGAGAAAGAGAAAGGGTGAGAGTAAGCAACCTTGCTTGACACCGGTCTTCACTTCGAACGACTTTGTCAACTGTCCTCCATGCACGATTTTGCAATGTAATCCATCATATGAGTTCTGTATGATATTGACTATCTTCTGAGGCACGCCGTAGTGTCGAAGAAACTTCCATAGTGTTGTTCTGTCCACGCTGTCAAATGCCTTTTCGTAGTCAATGAAGTAGTTGATGTAAAGTGATGAATTCCATTCAATTGATTGTTCCACAATGATCCGCAGAGTTGCGATTTGGTCTGTACACGATCTATCCTTACAGAATCCTGCCTGTTGGTCTCGAAGTTGGGCGTCTACGCAGTCCTTCATCCTGTTTAACAATACCCTGTTGTATACTTTTCCTAGTATTGAGAGAAGAGTGATGCCTCTGTAGTTATCACATTTGCTCAGATCGCCTCTCTTCGGTATTTTGATCAGAAGTCCTTCTTTCCAGTCTTCTGGTACTTGTTCCTCATCCCAAATCTTATTGAAGAGAAGGTGGATTATCCTTGCAGTTACTGCTACGTCTGCTTTCAGTGCCTCTGCTGGAATGTTGTCTGGTCCTGCTGCTTTGCCACTCTTGATTTGTCTGATGACCATGCTGATTTCTTCAATTGTTGGTGGGCTAACATCGATTGGGAGGTCCATGGTTGCTGCTTCGATGTTGGGTGGGTTCAGTGGAGCTGGTCGATTCAAGAGTTCTTTGAAGTGTTCTATCCACCTGTTTTGTTGCTCTTCAATGTTGGTGATTACC